AAAAAAATAAAAAAAAAAAAAAAAAAATCTTTTAGTAAAATAAAAATTCAGTTCTAACAAAAAAATTAATTTAAAAAACAAAATTTTTTTCAATAAAACCTCACAGCCTAAACAAAACGAAATAAATACAGTTTTTTCAATAAAGACTAACAGCTCCAACAAAAAACAAAAATCAAAAATATTTTTTTGTAAAAACCTAAAAATAAAATATTTCAGCGTATCACCACAATAACGGTGGGGAAAAAAAACCAGCTCTGGAAAAAAATAATAATAAAATTTTTCAACCCCACATTTCAAACAAAAAAATTCAAATCCAATACGTTGTATGCAATAAGGAAAAGCCCATCAACACAATCATGATGAAGTTTTTACCCACTGTGCTAAAAAAAATCAACCAAACTCACATCGCAAACAAATGCAAAAAAAAAAAAGCCACTATGACTACGTTGCTGGAATACAGAGAAACACATCCACACAATAATTGTGAAAAAACCCAAAACTGTCATCACCCGTTTCTAGATTCTGTGGTGCAGCAATTATGCGCTTTGCCGCCATCGCACTCAGAAGATACGAGTTCGATTCACGGGTAGGGGAGATTTTACTCTACAGTATCTCCCAGCAAGCCCAAAAGCTGCGCACATCCACTAGTGGAAGTGGAGCCTTTAAATGTTCAAAATGTGGCAAACTTTTCTAAGCCAGTATTAGTCTCTTCAGCCATAGCAGAAGCCACAAGTCATCGTAACCTTTAACTCTTCAAATTCTTCTACTTTGTTGTAGAAATATGTGTCACAGTGGTGGAATCAGGCGCTCGTCAATTTTTGGGCATTACATGTGGAGTTATTGGTATCATCTGAAAGCTTATTCATTTGTCTTGCTTTCAATGTAAAAAATATTTAGCTTTTGTTTTTTGTTTTAGTAGAGGTTTTACGGCGCTCGCAACTGCATAAGGTCATATGAGCGCCAGAAGATTAGAGGTGTTACAAGAGAGTTAGTTTAGTTTTAGTAGAGGTTTTACAGCGCTCGCAACTGCATAAGGTCATATGAGCATCAAGGGGTGATGTCAACAGAGAAGTCCTTACAGGGAATCAGACTTACTCTGCTCACCTCTCTAGCTTCAACAGCACAAAGTCTGCTTCGACTATCAAGGCACCCCGGATTTCACCATGATGCCTCACATATTCTCTTCTGCTGATGTTTTGGTCATCGTCAGACATTGTCGGACCAGATATTATTTATTATTATCTCCCAGGAGAAAGAATCCATAAAAATTCTCCCCACTCGAGAGTATAAATAAGGACAGAAAAGACTTTTGACGGGGGGAGGGGGGGTTGATAAGTGTTTTACGGCGCTCGCAACTGCAAAAGGTCATATGAGCGTGCGGGACATATTAAACATTGTCAGTTGGTAGGAAATTTTGACAGGATTCGAACCCACGACCTTACGGTTGTGAGTCCGAGAGCCTAACCACTAGGCCATCGACACCACACAATTTAGAAAATTCTGGAGGCTGGCTTCTGAGCCTGCCTGTCAGGGCCAACCTGGACTGAGAAGATATTCAAAATTCCAGCAGAAAGACTCAGATACTTGACAAAAATTTTCTCCCTATCTAATCAGGAATCGAACTCGGGTCTCCTAGGTGCGACAGCAAAGCGCATGACCGCTACACCGCAGACGCAGAGAAAGAGGGAAGCTCTGTAGACATTTCATCTGCACGAGAAACATCAATAGGCAGGGGAAACGACAACAGCGGTGGCATCTCTTCTGAGAGGATTCAGGGAGGTTGGACTGCCTCACCCGCTACCCAAGGGAGGCGGCGGCCCCGGCGAAGAGCACGCTCTTCGGGGCTCCGAACATTTCAAACGGATAGGCTACCACACACACACACACAACAGCAGTAGAAGAGTCAGCGATGTAGGGGATACTATTGTGAACCGTGCTGACAAAATGAGTTACTTCTCGGATTCAAGCCCTATGGAAATAGATACATCACGCTTATCGGTGCAGTTTTTACAAGTTATAGGTATGACATACCGAAAGGCATGGGTATACTCAAACAATTACAATACGGCATGAATAGAAAAACCTATAAATTTGACCCAAGAGTCAATTTTTGGCCGATATCTCCGTTTGTGGATGGCGAGAAGTAATTCATTTTGTCAGCGATGAAGCGGACACATTTATCATTCACCGCATGCGCTACCAAACAGTTCTGAAAGTACATGCAACCAACATACTAGTAGAGGCACAGTCTAACCTGTTCAACACAATCAATCATCCCATCGTGCAGGATAAAATTAAGACATATAGACAGAAAGAAAAAAAAACAGTTGTTTTTTAGGGCTTTTTTTTGTTTTGTTTTAGCAAGAGTTTTACAGCACTTGTTATTTGTTGGGGGGGTTGTAAAAGTTTTACAGCTCCTGCAACACAAATAGGTCATATAAGTGCTGAAGATTAGAGGTGTTAGTAGAGAGGAGCATACACAAAGAAGAAGGAGAGATCAAGACACGATGGATGTCTGAGAGGAAAAAAAGAGCAAAATGCACCCGAGCACCCGCCAACCACCCACATACATTACATCCTCTGTGGTCTACAAGTTAAAAAGGCCATCGTTTTAAAAAAGCAGCGGAGAAGAGGCGGTGGGGGTGGTGCGGAGATTGAGACAGAAGAACAGCAGCAGAGAAGAGAACACCCTCCAACCACCCACATCAAAGCACATAGCACACTGACCAATCGGGAGCAACAACAACACTAAATATGTGGGAAACACAACGAGCTATAACGATAAAAATACTGATTTTACATAAAGAGAAGCACAGCGACACAATAACGGTCATATTATTAGAGTTTATAGTTTGTTGGGGGCTTTTTGGAGGGGGGGGGGTTAAGTATGCATTCCACAGCACTTGCAACACATTTGGGGAGGGGGGGGGACAACACTAGTGGAGGGGAGGAGAAGAGGAGGGAGGGAGAGATATAAACAACAGCGGAGAGGAGGGAGAGTGAAGAGGAGATTATCAACAGCGGAGAGGAAAAGGGTGAATCACATCGCCACAATAACGATCACATTACTATAGTTTGTTAGTAGTTTTTTGTTGTTTTTAAAATATTTTTTGGGGTGAGGGGGGTTAAGTATGCATTTCACAGCACTTATAACACATTAGGTCCTATAAGTGTCAAAGATTAGAGGTGTTACAAGAGAGTAACTAACACAAAAAAAGAAGGATGAGAGATAGAGATGATAGATGTTTGAGAGAAAAGGAGAAAACAACACACCATCATTTTTCCTCTTCTTCTTTTGTATGTTTGTCACTCTCTTGTGAGCTGCTATTTCTGAGGTGCCTTGATAGTCGAAGCAGACTTTGTGCTGTTGAAGCTAGTACACACACACACACACACACACACACACACACGTACATACACACATAGACACACACACACACACATACACACACACACACACATGCACACATACATGAACACACACACACATACATACACACAAACACACACAGACACACACACACACACGCACAC